GGTGGGGTGGGGTGGGGCGGGGCGAGCGGGGTTAATTATATTATATTACAATTAAATATTTAATTAATTAATAAAAACCCTATTTTTGTAATTTTGAAACTTAGCATCTGATTTTTGATTTTGGCAAAGATAACTAATACATAAATTTTTCCCAAGTTTCTATGCAAAAATTGAGGCTCATACGTATATGTAATTGGACAAGGCCCAAGTGGAATGAAGGCTTAAAGTAGCCCAAGTCCTAACGTGGGCAAGCTCAGCCCTTTATCAGCCCAACCCAACTAGAATTTTATTATTTTTAAAGGGAAATTAGCGCAAACAAATTTTTTTGAAAGCATTTGCATCAATTCCCCCTTTCTTAAATTGATCACTGTACATTATTGGTCAGTTTGTGCTTGGTTCATCAATGATTTCATTTCTTGTTTAACATAGTAAGAAAGACTTCGACTAATTCTTTTGAACTCCAGCCTGATTTTTTTACCTTACGACCGTTGAACATCAAACAAAATTATTTAAGTTTTACTTTAAGAATTCCTTACGAAATGGGTTCACTCTCGTGGTTTTATGCCTCGCGTCACTCTCCTTTTTAGGAAAATCTACTGCGATAACTACTAATTTAAATCTCATTTTATAAAATGATTATAAACTCTTATACACTTTTTTCTCCCAAAAATGCTTAATGTACAGTCTAAATTCTACAGCAATTTTGACAGCCCTCTTCCATGGGTGGGCCCACGATTACTTTAATCGTGAACCCTATCAAATGTATGTGAGATGACTGTCAAAGTTAATATCAAAATTGACGTAACTCTAACATTATTATTTCTCTCCACACATTCTATCAATATATAATTTATACCCATTATAAATACTTTTTAAATGTGCTCAGTTCAACTTGAACAGACTTGACAGTTGACTCACGTGAGGATGACACACATTGCCATCCCTATTCCCATCTCCCTTCACCTCAGAGGAACAAGTACAGGCAGACAGGATAATCTGCTAACGTGTTCCTTCTATTGATTTTCGACTTCCATATTAAAGGTTAACTATATACGTAGGAGTGATTTGTTCGATTGTTGTTTTTATATTCAAGTGATTTAAAATTTTACGTCTTGTAAAATGGTGGCTCTTGAGAATCGTCTTGAAATTGGATTAAGAAGATGCTCTGTCACGTGAGCACAAGGAATTGAAGTTGAGGTTGAATAAGGACGCAGCTGCGTAGGCAGGTTCTGCGTAAGTTACCATCGGTGCAGTGAGTTTTGATGACATGGGAAGGTGGTGGCTGCTCAGGTAAGGCGCACAGAGGGAGATCTCGCTGCCGAAGATGTGGAGGCAGTTGCTGTTTGGGACAAGCCTCTTTGCTAAGCAATGTGGTTTCCAAATTGCCTGAGAATAACTCATTGCGGGTGGTTCAATGCTTTTTGTCCGACTTTCCATGTGCTCCGTCCTAACGCATCTCTATTATTCGACATTAGCTCTTTATTTAAGGATGTTGACTGTGGTTTTTCTTGTTATGTACCTTATGAGAGATAGAATTGCCCACTCTGTGGCATCCTCGAGCGTCAGGTGCTAGATTTTTGGCCTTTGTTTCTATTATCTACAATCCGTGCTATTCCTTCAAATATAGTGGGTAGGAGTTATCATGCACACCGCTATGTGGCATCAACGATCAAATCATGAGACGGTAGATATGTTTTATTCTACCCACCATGAGTATGCAATCATTTCTACATTAATGTTATATTGAGTTTAAGCATAGTATTTTTATGTGCTTTGCATATGTTATATGTTTCACAATATTTATTTGAA